CTAGTTATATGGTTTCTAGAGGTTTTATATTCAGTCCAGTAATTTTCTGAATTATATTTAACGGCAAGGAATTTGAGACAATCCCGGTCATGTATTTGTTTTTTAATTGCATTAGTCAGCCAAGGAATATTTGGTATATTTTTGACTCCCTTTTCTCTAATTGGTGCATGCTTGTCTAGAACTGACAAGAAAATAATTTTCCATGTTTCCCACATCCTGTCAACGCAGAAGTTATTGTCCAACAATTCCCATTCCTGATTACTCAAATCCATTAGGAAATTTCGAATTTCGACTTTCTTGTGGCGGTTGTTTTGTTTAGGACGAATATTAATTTTACGAACAACTAAAATCATATAGTGATCGCTGATAGCAATCTGCACCACTTTAGATAAGACTAACCTATCTGGAGTTGGGGTGAGACAAACATCCAACAGGGTAGATGAAGTCATGGTCAAGCGAGTGGGTGAGCTTATATTGTTTGTGTTAACTGATATAGTTCAATGATTGAATTTAAGTTTTTTGTGGCATTATTTGAAACGTCAAGCATATTGGCATTTAAATCACCAAGCATGTAAAATTCCTTATTCTCATCATCTATAAGTTTAATTAATTGCTCAATATTGGCAAAAGAGTCGACAGAAGCACCTGGAGGTCTATAAATGGTACCAACAATAAACGATGCAGAAGAGGGTTTGTTAACCTCAATACAAACTGCTTCAAGATTATCTCTAGTCAGACCTTTTCGTTCGAAATAATTAATGGAGTTTCTTATACATAAACAGATGCCTCCCCTGTTCTAGAGCGATCGGCCCTAATTAAATCATAATTGTGAATAAACATATCCTGATTGGTAATATTATTATCTAGTCTTGTCTCATTTAGTGCGAGAATATCGAGACATTTTTCAGCTAATATTACTCTAATTTCTTCTATATGTTTAGGTAAGCTAGCTATGTTAAGCATACCCATTTTAAAACCCTTTACATTAGGTAAACATGCATGGGTTAGTCGATGTATGCCTGTTTCCACCTGGCTGTACATTATATCAATTTAAGCGTAAATGATTGCTATAATTCTTATGCCGAGGAAAAGCGTGACGTCATTGTTCGTAAAACTAATTACTTCCGTCCCTATATTGGGAGGGGGCGGGGTTACCTACTCAATTTGGTATACTATAGTATACCACGCCCACGCATGTACACCACGCGCTTAGCATAATGCAAAAAATACGGCGGATCAAAACAACAAAACCTCAAGAACTAAAGATTTGCATTAAGTGCTTTAACTAAAGATTTTCAGGCGTGAATATCAAGAAGCATGTTACCTTCAATGATTCAAAGGATATAAGTTCAAGGGGAAACGTCAAAAACTCAGGTATAAATAAAAAATAAACATGGTATTGCTTAGTTATTCAACATGGTATTACTTAGTTATAGACCTTCCGCTCCGAGGATTCAGCGAAACATTATCCTCAGTGATGATATTCCCTCGAGGCAAAGCCACTCGGGAAATATCATCACTTCGGGTAATATTTCGCCGAATTCCCCTCGCTCCGGGTCTATAAATGATCAATATAGGAACACAGACGATTAGTTGTACTTGTATATTCAGGCTGTAGTCAGCGATGAGGCCTGGAAGAAAAAAATATGAAAACTTACCGAGTGACGTTTGTCTTCATGTATGCTAATAAATATGAACATATCAAGATAGTTTGGATTAAGGAGAACAAAATAATGCACTTTGCTGTCGCTCTTTGAAAATTCCCGTGAACTCTCTCCAAATTTCGATAGTAAGGTGCTAAAATGGACAAAGCTAAATTTGAAACAGATTTTCCTGAGAGAACAAATATGATTTTACACAAAGAAGGAAAAATGCACATTGTTTTTTCTGAGTTTGATATTATGGAGGTAAAAGAGTAAGGCAGTATCTTGATTCTTGTGCTGTCCAAATAGAGTAGAAACGCTAATTCGCAGAAAGCTCAACCTAAATGACAACAACGGAAATGGCAACCACTCCATTTCAGAGCCATCATCAGGGAAACATGAACTTAAACTTGAACATGAACTTGCGCTCTCCCCAGTTGACTAGGCTGCTCAATTAGCTTTTCTCACGCCGCCATGTTTGGGTGGCTTTTCAGGAGAAGTCTGCGAAATAAGTCCACATAACAGCGACTTTTTATAATTTTTTGGACGAATTATGGTAAATTTGCTTTGTAAATGGTTAGTTTATTCTGAAAAATTGCTTTTCACATTGTTTTAATTGTCTGCATTGGTTAATGAGAATTAGATGCCACCCAAAAGTGGCGGATATTCGTCATCATGAGAAAGGCTAATTGGTAGAGAGCATCAGCCCGGTTCGCTGAATATGCGAGTTTACTGAGTCCCGCGTGAGTCAACTTCTAATTTATGTTGACAAACGCAGCAGTGTCGGGTTTTTCTCATGAATATATTGTATCATCGTTAATGCAGATTGGATATCCCACAAGTTTTCGAATCCACTTGGACACCGCAGAAACCATACGTTTTGTTCAACAATGAAAATAAAATGATCAGAGTTAAAATGGTTTGCTAGACTTGCCACATTTGCGTAGCTGCGGACATTGGGAGGTTTATAGTTTGGCATATTGAGAGAGATGCATGTATATCACTAAAAACTATCGAGAACTGAAGAGGGCTTGAAAGACCCAGGGTGATGTGGGTAACAAGTTGAATTAGAGGAAATGAAATTATGGGTACTTACGGCCACAGATTGAAGTACCAAGTCGTATTCATGGAAAGAAATGGCTTTAACATTTCGTCCACAACTGGAAGTGACGTTGGTTTAACTAACTCCAGTAAACGTTCAAAATCTTCAAACGACATCTGCAAGAGTCAAATAGTCATTAAAATGTAAATCGCCCATTTCAAGTAATGGCAGTGATGTTTACAATTTTTGTGTGTATTTTTTTCATTCATTCATTCGTTCATTCATTCGTTCATTTATAAATGAATAAAGACAACAGACGATGTAGTCTTGAATGTTGGTTGCCTGCACAAGTAACGGACAGTACAATCTGCAACTGTGTATGATGCAGCTACTGAAAAATAGAACAAACTTCAAACCATTTATCATACAAAGACGCCAACTGAACAGACGATGTAAACACATGGTGTGAAATTGACAATTTGCATATGAAGCTAAGAACAAATCGTAGTCTGGAGTTCTAGGAAGTAAATAAACGTACCATATTTATGCTATCCGCAACATCTCGTAATGATGAAGGTACAGTCCAGGTATCAGTAAAATCGTTCACATTTCTACGATATTCAGTTTTCCTTCGACCTTTCGGTTTCCACACTTGACCTTCGTTCCCACTGTCTTCACTGCTCGCGCCTTTCAGAAGTAAATGCCACAAATGATCTCTTATGCAATCTTTCTGCGCAGAACTTACAGTTGCGTGTAGCTTATGATAACATTTATCAGCATCGTGACCAAGATTTCTCAGATCCCACGCCATGAGAGAATCCGAGGGATCCGCTTCCAATCCTGTGATGATGTAAGGTCTATCACTTGAAGGGTTTATCTGGGAACTTGAGGGATTCTGAGAATTTAACGAATACAAAGAATCGCGTGCGTGAGATGAAGGTAAATGTTTAAGAAGTTCCTCCGAAGGACTTTGAGAAAGTGGCAAGGTCGTGATGAATTGTGGGCTAGATGTAGATCGCTTGATGTTCTCGTTGTACGTCGCCGCTGGTCCATGGTTATAAGATACAGGCTCACGTTCTGGACTATTCGATACTTGAGAGCTAGAGACTAATGTCTGACGTAACCGGATAGCTGGAATAAATGATAAATAGTAATTGTTTGTACAAGTCGCGAAACCATTATATAGTGAATAGTTTGATGCCACAACTATTTTTTTTTTCCAAATCAACAAACGAAATAACAAGACAAATTATCATTACTACATCTAAAATACGGATAAATTTATATTTTAGGATGGTTCTAAATTGAAACACTGCGCGTCATCCAAGACAAGCGTTAAGTCGTCGTGAAATTAAAAGTTTAAATTGGATACGACTCGCTACCAATCAACGTTGACTCAATAGCTCAATGCCAATGGATAGAGTGGTAGAAGCGAGTTCGAATCCCACTCAAGAAGATTCATAACTACGCAGAGAGTGTTAGGTATCCAAAAACAAGGGGGTTTAATTTACAACGTAAAGTACCTGTGTCGCCTGTGAAACCAGATGACTGTTTCCTACGTGGAAGCTCAGCTTTCATTTTCGGAAATAGTTCTCGACGATGTGTCTTCACGACGTAAAATTTCAGTCCCAACTGTTCGTCCTCGGCGTCCAGATCGAGCTTCGCCACTAACGAAACATCGCATTTCTCTTGAGCTAAAGTGGAGACTAAAACATGTTCTTGTCGCTCGTCTTTCGAGTTCATTTCAACTGTAGCTAGCTTATACCGTGTACAATGTTCAACAATATAGTTGTAGACAGTTTCGCGGGAGAGGCGAAATAATGGCAGTGAAAGTTGACCTGAAAAACACAATTATGTGAGAAGCAGTAAACTGTTGTGGACAGAGTACGAGGAGGGGGAGATTGCCCCCAAATACCTGATTAATGAAATAGTTAATTGAAATTAAGCAAACAGGCATGCATGCGTAATTAGCAACTATCGGAAAAATATAAGGAGAATTTCGACGTTTCGAGCGAAGGCCCTTTGTCTGGAGTTACTAGTCACTCCAGAGTCATTAGTAACTCCAGACGAAGGGCCTTCGCTCGAAATGTCGAAATTATATTTTTCAGGTAGTTGCATCCCTACCAACGAAAGCTTGTTTATTTGATTGGCACTACCTACACTGGCACAGACAGTTCATGCGTAATTAGCCTTTCCCACGCTCGGCTTATCCGCCGTTTTTGGGTTATTGCCTCTGTCTCCCACTGCCTCTCTCAAGTCAGAGAGTGTATACGCTACGTTTATCACTCTAGTTGTGTGTATAATGGGAAATTTACAGCTAGGTCTTTCAAAAGTCACTTTTAACATTCTTTGAAGAGCGAAGGCAGTACCCCCAAAATGGCACTGGAAATTTGTTTCAAAAATGGTGTGGATCGTTGTTGAAAATAGTATGGAAATCCAATTTTCATAGTAATAGCAATTTCCATACTATGGATACAGTATGGAAATACTGTAGTATGGATATACTATGGATTATAGTGATGCAATCGCAAATTCCATAGCATGAATTTCACTATTTTTTCCAGTCCAGTGTATTGACCCGCGCGAGAAAGGCTGATTGTGTTACGTGAGTAAACATTGGGACACATTTTTACTCACCACAGTGAAAAGATTTCTTGGTGCCGACAAATGCGTAATTATTTGCAAGGGGATTAGTCTGCAGGTAGTCCTATGACATCGCCAATTAGTAGAGGTGCATGGGTTCTACTTTTGCCACAATCTGATTGGTCGAAATTGAGCGTCCAAAAAGTGACAGCCACTGGCTGCCCAGTAGCTTTACTTTCTTCAAAATCGAATTTTTTTCCCGTTTATGTTCAACCTCGCAAGCCAGGTACTTTTCGTAAAAAGCCTGGCTTGCGAGGTTGGTCTTTGGTTTGCTTCAACATGTTTTTTGAAACACATTGCGAGCATTGTCTTTGCCTGGCAAAGTCATTTTTTAGTCATTTTTTGAAATGACTACAGGCTTGTAATCATGTAAAAGTGATTTCACTTTCTTCAAAATCGAAATTTTCCGTTTTTGTTCAACCTTATAAGCCAGGCACTTTTCGTAAATAGCCTGGCATGTTGGGTTGTTTTGCTTCAACACGTTTTTTGAAACAACCTGCTGACAATTTCAGTTGTTCTGTGTAAATCAAGCACACCACTCACCTACGTTGTCTTAGGCGAGTTGTATGCTTGATTTACACATTGCAACTCAAGTTGTTGCATGCGACAGTTTTAGGCGAAAGTTGTGTAGCGCATAAATCGGCCTTTTCCTATCCTAATCCTTACCTTTGCAAACATGATTCCAGGAGAATTTAGGAGGATAAATATACACATTCATGAGTTTGCTCAACATGGATGTCAACCTGAATCCCTTGGGAAATACCAAGCGTTGACGAAACAGAAAGTACTGCACGTGACGGAGATGAAAGTCATAACTGAAGGAATTGAGGTGAGTCAAATCTCGTACTTTGGAACATTCAGCAAGAAAATTTGCTTTGGCCTTGAAAAACGTTAAGAAATGTTATTCAATGCACAAACAACAGTGTATGTACTGTACATTGTGACTCAAGACTGATTTATTAAACTAGGCCAAAAAAAATATGTGGGTTTCCGGTTTCCTTTTGTAAAAACTTAGGTAGGGTAGGTTGGTTTTAACTTTTTTAAATTTTTTTTTTAAGTTTTCCTAACAACCGGACGCCATTTTGTTTAGTCAGTGCTTCCATGTCCAAACATAAATTTCTCTAATATTGCCTCAAATTTTCATTTTCCACAAACGTTTTCCTCTAGGTGGAAACACTTACAAGTGTTCTAGCATTTGAGCCGACTGAAGATAGCCTAGGTTTCGCAAATACATATTTAAAAAGAATACGAAATCCAATCCACTTTCAGCAATAGCAAAAATTAATAAAAAAGTCCTTCTGTGCTCATGCATTATATACATATTAACTAATAGCACGTTACCTGTTGGTTTAAGTTCTCACAGCTGAGCAGTCGACTTGATTCAAATGCATATAACTTAACGCAGAAATGGCAACCCTATATAATGTAGAAACAATCATGTCAATGATATGTTACTCGCAGTGTTGTCACCATCTGAGATATGGAATGAGAGAAATAAAATTTCCACAGTACGGAAGTGTTTTAAAATAACTGGCTAATAAAAAACTATTATCCCTTTATAGCTTTCAAAAAAAAACTCTTATCCCTTTATAGCTCCCAAATAAAAACCTCTTATCCCTCTTTATAGCTCCCAAATAAAAACCTCTTATCTCTTTATAGCTACCAAATAAAAACCTCTTATCTCTTTATAGCTTTCAAATAAAAACCTCTTATCTCTTTATAGCTCCCAAATAAAAACTTCTTATCTCTTTATAGCTCCCAAATAAAAACCTCTTATCCCTTTTATAGCTCCCTAATAAATACCTCTTATCCCTTTATAGCTACCAAATAAAAACCTCTTATCTCTTTATAGCTTTCAAATAAAAACCTCTTATCTCTTTATAGCTTTCAAATAAAAACCTCTTATCTCTTTATAGCTCCCAAATAAAAACCTCTTATCCCTTTATAGCTCCCAAATAAAAACCTCTTATCTCTTTATAGCTCCCAAATAAAAACCTCTTATCTCTTTATAGCTCCCAAATAAAAACCTCTTATTCCTTTATAGCTTTCAAATAAAAACCTCTTATCTCTTTATAGCTCCCAAATAAAAACCTCTTATCTCTTTATAGCTCCCAAATAAAAACCTCTTATCCCTTTATAGCTTTCAAATAAAAACCTCTTATCTCTTTATAGCTTTCAAATAAAAACCTCTTATCTCTTTATAGCTCCCAAATAAAAACCTCTTATCCCTTTATAGCTTTCAAATAAAAACCTCTTATCTCTTTATAGCTTTCAAATAAAAACCTCTTATCTCTTTATAGCTCCCAAATAAAAACCTCTTATCTCTTTATAGCTACCAAATAAAAACCTCTTATCTCTTTATAGCTTTCAAATAAAAACCTCTTATCCTTGTACATCCTTGTGCAATAGCTCCCAAATAAAAACCTATAACTATTATCCTTTATAGCTCCCAAAAAAAACCCTATTATCCTTGTATATCATGGATTAATATTTGGTACTTTTATTTTTTTTTTTTTATTATTTAAAGATTTGTCAAAAGACAGGTGTGAAATGCAATAGGACATTGGAGTCCCTCACAAGGCATTAAACACCCACATACAATACATATTTACGCAATAAAGATTAACAAGTACAAACAGACAAAGGAGAATATATTCTGAATTGTACCTCGTATCCCAGCTCGACCAACATAATTCCGCCATCATAAGCGTACTTTTCATCATCATTACTTCCATCAACTGTTTTTTGTAAGTAATAATGGAGTTGTTTCTCTTTTGTATCATCTCCAATCTCACTTGCTTGCTGAATTTAAACACATGTTATGGTTGTGTAAATTATATATTAAGCGTCAATACTTATATCATGCAGGTAGTTAATATTAATTTTATTTAATTATCTAAATTATCAATTAATTAGACTAGTCCATGCATGCCGATGTTACTGGGATGGAGGGCGTGCACACAGTCGTCAGAGTAAGTGCCTTCCGTTTATGAGATCGTGGGTTTCATTTTCACTGCGACACTTATGTGAAGAATCAGTCAACACTCTATCGAAAGTCGTGGGCTTTCTCCGTGTAGTTCAGTTTCCTCCAACAGGCAATGTTGACAGGTTGCGTTGGGATAAATTCCAAAGCCTAACGCAACTAAGCCATCCATCGCGGTAGCAGTCAGAGGTGTCCTATAAGTGAGTCTTCGACTCGAACAGGTTGAGCTACCCCCTTTGTAACCCAGCTCAACTCTCCGCTGAAAGTGAGAATGATTAGCACACGCCCACGGACTTCTTAAACACACTAGTTTATTGAAAAAGATCATTTCATAAGGATTGATTGGCGGTCAACCGAGTACGAGTATCACAGTCGCTGCTCGCCGCCACTCGCAAATAAATGCAGGCTAGTATCACAGCATTACCTTCGGTCGTTCTGATACTGCCTTCTTGCGACTTGGCTTCGTTGGCTTTTTTTGTCTGCAGATTAAAACAATTTAATTTAGCTTCTGGTCGAGAATAAATAGTTTGAGTAATAAGACATAACTGTTGTGAATACGAGAAGTGCGATGGTCTAGGGAAAGGGACGCGATTTATAACTTGGCTGCCAGGGACGTTTTATGGCATGCAGATCTTACAAAGCAGGGTACAACACTTGAAAAACCGATAATCAAAGAGAATCTCGACTTACACTTTCGCTGACTGAGTAGTCAACTGAACAAGAGCAAATTGCTGAGATTGTAAGAACTGTGTGTAGTAATTAATAAATTCTTCTCTCAATTGGTAATGCCATTTATCTTCTCTCACTCTCTTCACTGCATCTTGCTCATTCTTGTCTCCATCGTCTTGCTTCACATGTTGCTGCATACGAAAACATGGAAAATTAGAAATACAAAACCTTCTCTCAAGTAATTTGTATATTTGGGAGATTCGCAGTCAAGAGATTTGCATTTAAACGTTAAAAAATTTTAAGTCCATATTAATACAGTTTTGTAGGGGATTCAAGGCTTCCGACGCCACAACGAAACACAATAGTGCAAGGGTTGCAAACCATTGGTGCAAAAAATTAGATAGATTTAAACTTTTCCGTGCTTGTACGTATGTATAAAAAACGCTTTAAGTAATTTTTCCATTTCAGTCTTCAATTGTATCGTACCGAAACGTAGCGTATATCTTTGTTTCCTGAGTGGTAGTGTGGAACTATAATGACTTCGACACAAACGAAAATGCTACGGTACGTTACGTTACGATTGAAGTAGAAAACTGGCTTTACTGGCAATATTTTATATATCTATCCGTGATTAGAGAAGTTATCTATATGTGATGGTGTACTTGGCGAAAATATAATAGGCACGTGACAACGAAGGACCACATTTTTGCATAAACATTGACTAACATATTGGATGATGATTACTATGCTATATAAACAATAAAATTCCTCGTCACAATCTCGAAATCAACGCCCCAAGAAAAAGCCTGGTAAAGAGTGGCGTAGACAATGACGGGACATGCTCACCCGGAAAATTTTGAATTTTAGAATCTGAAATGGTCATATCCTGCGATTTCACGGTGAAATGTTTCCATAGAAAACCTGACCAAACACAGAAACAATAGTCACCGAAGTTCCAAGTAATCTTTGTTCCATTAATCTTACGTTTGCTCCCGTTATTATTATTGATATTGTTATCGTTACAAGAAAATAAACATAAAAAATCTTGAAGATCATTTTGTTACCTCCGCCAGGAGGTTATGTAATCATCTGGGTTTGTATGTGTGTGTGTGTGTGTGTGTGTGTGTGTGTATGTGTGTGTGTATGTGTGTGTGTGTATGTGTGTGTGTGTGTATGTGTGTGTGTTTGTCTGTGAGCACGATAACTCAAGAAATACCAAACATATCCGTACGAAATTTTGTGAGTGCATTTCCCATCGGCCAAGGAAGAACTGATTAAAATTTGGTTGAATTTGGTTAAAAATTGAATGAGAAATAACAAAAGTTTGTCTTGCTTTTCCCGGTCAATTAAATAAAACTTATACTGAATGCGTAATTAGGACGTGCATAATATATGCACCAGCCATTCAAATTCTAATAACAATAGATTACTTCAATATTTTGCGCGTAGGCGGAGGTATGCAGTCTCTGAGTGCCCTCTAGTTTTTAATAGAACTGTCAGTGTTTGCATAACTATATGTCATTTACATGCCATCCGTAAGGACTATGGACACAAATATTGAGGATAAGACAACTGGCCGTGATTGTAAAATGTAGCGCATTGCTTAAAATAATAACATTTTAATATCCATCTTTGGTTAGAAAAGTACAATGGATTTACAAGAAGTGCTAAGGTTAAAATTGGAAAGAAGAAATTTTACTATTATTTACATCAATGTTGCTAAAAATGTTTATACTAGTTACATATTCTATAAAATTAATTTAGGACTGTTTTAAAAGGGATATAGCTCCAGGTATAAAGGATTGCCGGTGTCTTTTAGTATACAATACAACATATGGTAGATTATTTGTTGTTCTTAGATCGTGTTCATGGGTAAAAGGTTGGGGGATAAGATTATTACATGGGTTGGTCGGATCACTTAGAATTCTTTGGTATTCCTTAACAGTTAGGTGTGCCCTTCTTTGTTCTAGCGTTTCAAAGTTGCACCGAGATGTGCCGAGGATTTTGATGCATCTGTTTTGAATGCTCTCTATTTCATCAATGAGATATTGTGGTAAACCACCCCATATCGGAGCTGCATACTCTAAAACAGGTCTAATCTTGGATTCATAACATGTAATACCGACCTGAGGAGGAAGATTCGCTCTACGACATTCTCTCAGACTAAACATTCGTTTATTTGCTTTCCTTACAATGTTCTTGACATGACAGTTCCATTTCAAATTGTTTTGATGCCAACAGTTTATGAGAATTTACTCTTTCCACTGCCTCGTTTCCAATGACCAATGGTTCTGGTGCCGGTATTGCTGTGTTAAAACATATCCACATATCTTTTGTTTTCTTCGAATTTATCGTCATTTTGTTCCTATTAGACCATTCTTGTAATGCTTCAAGGGCCTCCTGCATATGGCTGGATGAACCTTGTGACACCACTTCGTCCTGTGTACAGTCATCCGCGTATTTACATATTTGCATATGTTTATGGATAATCCATCTGAGATTGAGTTCTCAATATCGTTAATGTGAATATTAAAAAGAGCGGGGGACATCACAGAACCTTGTGGGACTCCTGCAGGACAAGGTTTGACCGATGATAGGGTTCCTGCTAGTTTGACCTGTTGTCTTCTATCTTCCAGAAAACTACGCGTCCATAGCCAAAAGCTTAAGGCTTTGGTTACATTCATTTCTGCGAGCTTACGAAGTAGAATTCCGTGGTCAACAAGGTCAAACGCTTTGCGAAAATCTATGAATAGTGCATGAACTCCATTTTTGGCGCTATGAGTATTGTCGGTCACATTAAACCAGTTCTGCGAGATGTTGGTGAGTGCGGACACGGTTGATCGTTTGCTTGTAAAGGCATGCTGATTATCATTTATACGTGAACTGGGAAGGTTCAGTTTGAGCTGCAGCTTTTCCAGCACTTTAGCCATTTGGGGAAGAATGGATATCTGGCGAAAGTCATTCTCGATATCTCTTGGTGGATTGACCTTCGGAACTGGGATAACTAAGGCGTGTTTATACGCAGTTGGATATTCACATTCTTTTATACTGGCGCAAATAATGTCATGAACGATGGGCGCTAGTTCTTCCCAGTATCGTTTAAGCACCCATGCTGGAATCCCATCGGACCCGGTGGCTTTTTTAGAGTTTAGTTGTTTCAAGGCAGTCTTAACCTGTCCAATTGAGGGAGTAGGAGGATTTTCTTGCCTCAGTGATGACGCTACGTCTTCAAGACTAGGGATTATGGTTTCAGGAAGTTTTGACCATGGTTTAGTAAATATATTCTGCAGTATTTCCACTGTATCGGGAGTGCTGTCTGAGATTAAGTTGTTGTTTAGATTGTCACCTTCAAAGCCAGCTAACTGGGATATCGTTCTATGCCATTTTGCTGCATCGTGTTTGCGTTTGCTTTTGACCTTAGATGAATAAAATTCTGCTTTAGCTTTCTTGATAAGTGTAATGATCTTATCAGCCAATTGTCTATATTTGGTCATGTTCCCAGTAGTATAGGCTTTTTGTCTCGCTTTAATCTCTTTTTTGATATAAGCCGTCATCCATGGCTTGTCAGACGCATGGGTACGTATCGTGGTTACAGGTATTGTTTTATTTAATATGTCTATTATAGTATTTGTAAAAAGACTAACTTTGTTATTGATATCTCGAGCCTCAAATATTGATTTCCAGTCCTCAAGGTTTAATTTTAGGCCGAGTGCATTTAGGTTACATGGTTTCGTTAGGCGCACTTTTCGAGTAGAAGGCTTCACGGTTTGTATTGTTTTGGGACTATACAACAAACATTGATGGTCAGAGCGACCAACTGGAGGCAGGTGCACCACTTCTTTATATAAATCTGACATGTTCGTTAGTATTTGGTCCAAAACTCTGGTGCCTCTTGTCGGTGCTTTTACAGACTTCTTCAAGTTAAATCTTCTGCATAGTCTACTCAGCTTCATTTGATTGAAGTCTCCCATTATGCATACACCAGCAGACGGGTAATCTCGTAAGACAGAATCAAGTCCCCTAGTAATATACTCAATCAGTTCTCTTTCACTTTCTGCCGACTGCCCTGGGGGGAAGTAGACGCCAACTGCCACTATAACGCTAAAAGGCCTAGGGGTTCTGGGGGGTTTAAGAAGCAGCCATAGGACCTCTCTGTTATCTTCTTCTAAATTTTTAGACATGTAGTTGGTATACAAGCGTTCACATATGCTAATACACCCCCTCCTGGTGTAAGTCGGTCCCGCCGATAGGTATTGAACATTCTTCCAATGCTTATAGCAGAGTCGGGTATATTTGTATTCAGCCAGGACTCTGTAATCATAATCAAGGAGGGACTGTTCATTTCAACAATAGCGTGTAGATCGTCAACTTTGTTCGAAATGTGACATATGTTCGTTAGGAGGATAGTTGGCATGTTAGATATAGTTTTATTAGCGGTTTGATTAGTCGGTCTAGAATTCCGTTTTGAAATGTTTAAAGTAATTAGGTTGGTAGGGTTGCGCCTATTTCGTTTATATCTATAATTACGTGATGAGATTATAACTGGAATATGAGCCATTATACGTAGGTTGAATATTTCCCAAGATGGGTGCTACTTTTCTTTGACCACATAGTTTGTGTTTCTTTCGATTTCCATGGCTTACAACTTATGTATTTAGGCCAGAAATTATCTTCCTGAAGCAGGGAACTGACGGCCGAAGGAACATGGATCTTAGATGAGATTGTTCCCCTGCGTCGACTTTTGAAAATGGAAATATAAGTCGGGATTATATTTCGTTTATTAAGAAAAGATAAGATTTGGCTTTCTTTCACATTCTCGTCTATACCTGTTACGAGAAATTTCTTGGTTTTACTTCTATTTCGTTTGACACCAATAAAGCCATCGAGGTCACTAGACAACTCGTCAATTTCACGTTGTGAATTCGTGATTCCTATGCAAACTTCCCCACTTTCAAACGTTCAAAATTGACTGAAAATTCGTTCATTTGATCCTCCCGCAGCAGCCAATTTTGATTGTTCTGTTGAAGCAATAGAAGGAGCACCGACGTGCGATGAGAGAAACGATGTTCAGTTAGTTGCAGTCGGATATATTCTCTGGTTTAAATGAAACATTTTTTCTCGATTATATAAGAAAGTAAAATGACCTAATGTAAAGTAGGCACAATGGTTGTCATCTGTCAGGATGGCCGACCTGTCTAAGGCGCCAGACTCAAGTTTCAAAACTTGCTCCGCTAATGCGCAGCCAAAGGGCGTTCTGGTCCACTAATGTTGGCGTGGGGTCGAATATATTCCATTCCTGACAGAGAATTTTAAAATTATTACGCGAGGCCGTTGAATATATTGGTGCAATTCTTAATCCCGAGGATGACTACAAACCAGTCGGAACGTTGATTTAAAAACAAAATGTTGTTTCTTTTTCCATCAATCCATCGTTTCCGCCCAGGATCGAACTGGGAACCTTGCGCGTGTGAAGCGCACGTGATGACCACTATACTACAGAAACTTGGCTGGTGAAGCACGAGTTCATTGCGTTGCTAAAGTTTGCTCTTTTAATTTATTGAAATAAAAACCAAATGCATGCTTCTGTGCAGGATCGAACTGGAGACCTTGCGCGCGTAAAGCGCATGTGATGACCGCTACAATACGGAAACAAGCGCATGTTCGGAACCCTATGCAAACTTTCTCAGTTTCAAACGTTCAAAATTGACTGAAAATTCGTTCATTTGATCCTCCCGCAGCAGCCAATTTTGTTTTTTCCGTTGAAGCAATAGAACGACCACTGACGTGCAATGAGAGAAACGATGTTCAGTTAGTTGCAGTCGGATATATTTTCTGGTTTAATAAATGAAAATTGTTTCTCCATTACA